TCTGTTAGCTATATTTGTACTGTCAAGAAATTAACAGCTATTAGCCACTTTTTCCAGGCTGTCTCCGTCAATAACCTAGAGACAACTGAATCATCTGGGGGAAAGAAAGATTGTTATCCTTCCTGTGCTGATTTTCCTCAACGTTTTAATCACTTTCATAGACTAAGAACAAAAATATTCTCTTAAGCTTAGCTTGACTTTTTTCTGAGGGAATGTCAGCCTGACTTTTAGAATTAAGTTGCAACTTATATCACTTAGCATATATAGTGCCATTATGATGATTTGAAAGCCCATCTCAAAGAAACAGATAACAACAGTAATCTAAATAATACTTCTCACTTCTATATATCACTCTCAAAGAGATTTATTAATATTAGGGCTCATCAGTTCCGTAAGTTATTATTATTAACCCTGTTTCCATGGCTTGAAAAATTTACTAAATGACACCTACTAACCTGAGGCCAATATGAAAGATTACTGTCAGACCTACAAGCAAGGTCCTGGTAAGCAGCTCCCACAACTGCTGGGAAACTGTAGAGTGCTAGAAATTCTACCAGAGGGCTTTCCCTAAACATTGCCTAGGAACTTCATCTGTTTAATAAGCTTCTAGCAAGTAGACGTAATAAATTATGAAGCCAAAATTCAAAATGACTGCTCTGGTTGCTGGAAGGGAAAGTTATAGATATTTAAGTCGGCTTCTCTGAAGATACCATTCCAATGAGATTCACACTCCTAAATCTTAATTCCCTAGGATGAGATATGCAGAACTCCTCAAGGTCTTAACAACTTTTGGTCCATAAGGCAAGCAGTAGCAGGATGGAATCTAAGCCAGCACCCAACTTCTGATGGCTCTCCTGCCCATGCAACTCTCCGAGTTTAACCATTTCTCTTCCAAGTCAGTTTCTTACTGAGCTGGAGGCACAGTCTCCCTAAATAAGCCACTAAATTAAAACAAAACATTGGAAACAAAACAAAAACTATTGCTTCAAGAAAAACCACAAAAGCATCATTTTCTAGAGTGATTACTCCCAAACTCTGAGGGCAGTGAGCAGGTGAATAGAAAGCCTATTGGAATGATATCTTAAGAGAAGATAAAAATAACATCCCTCAAAGATTCTCAATTCTGGGGATCAGGTGCATGGCTCGAGTGATGTCCAAGAGAAAAACCAAATGAAAATAAAACTCCAAGAAGCAGAAACAATACGGCCAATGCCAATAAGCTTTTCTGTATTTATTTTGCAAACACAGTGGAGGGAGAAGATACTTCCTTCACAATTCTAGATGTTATGCACGATGCCTGAAAGAGGCAAGCAAATACAAAACATCCATAAATTTAGCTATTCTAAAAGAAACAAATGTATGACAAAGTGGATTAAGCTCATTCTCACGCACCACGAATAAGACTCTTCATGTAAGAAACAAGTTCAAAAGGAGTTTCATCAGCACCACATTAATACTCAATGACAGAAAGAGCTTTTTAATATAGGCATTTGAAAAAGGATCAAGCCCTGCATGAAGAATCTGACAATAAAAGTCTACAGAAACACTTATCTACCAGTGCACAATAGGCTGAAATAGCTGTCAAATAAATTTGGATAGACTCGGTTGAAGAATGTGTCAAGAAATTTGTATGCAATATAAGTTTGGAGGTTGATGGGGGTTTGTCTGCACCACACCACAAACTTTTTCCAGTTGCTGTTTTAAGTCCTTCTGGTAGATGACTTTCACAAAGCCTGTGGGAATCAACCAACTCCTCAGACACACCAAACTTAGATGTCTTAGCAGCTTCTGTAAAAGTTGGGAGAATGCTGGATCATGCCCGGCAGGTTGTTATCCAGTTGCTTCTCTGCCTTGGTTTACATGTAGCATCAATGCAATCCTCTGGCACTTATGACTCCATCTAATTACATTTTCCTCCTGAACCTCAACTTACACCACACAAGCATCTGAAATTGTCTACTCAATGGAAGGACCTGGAACATCACAAAGGCTTCATGAAGTTCTAGCAGTTATTGTGCCGGAATTCCTACATAAGAGGCACGAAGGGGCTGGCATCAAAGCCAGAGCTTTATGTGCCAAGGAGGAAACTTCAAGGGAGCAGGGTATCAACTTACATACAAAAAGGATTCAAACTGCTCTGAGCGCTCCAGACAAGTGGCGGATAAGAGGAATGCCTCAAAGCTGTTATTGGAAAAATGTCAGCCTCCTAGCATATAGTAATATCATGAATCAGTTTTTAGCCCCAAGCTGGGAATATGCATCAGCAGGAATTCCAGAAGTGGAACTGACTGGATTACAGGGATAAGATTGCAATGTGTCAGAAGAAAGTAGTGGGTTCTCTTTCAATACCCCCTACCTCAATCTCTTGTGTCAAGGATCCACCTCATGAGGTACATGAGAACTCAGCATCAAAGATTTCAACACTGAGACCTGAAGTCTCAAAATTCTGGCATATAAGAGTGACAGCACAGGGCTTTTTTACTCCCAAGAACATATCCGGAGGAAGCTAGGTTTGTGTTGATGCAGAGGGTACACACACACACACACACTGTACTCAGCAGCTTCCCTTTTGAAGCAGTTTAAGATGATTTTGTGCCAGACTTTGGGGAGTTTCCCTACGATGCCTTGAAAAGAAGATGTTCCCCATGTCTCCTCATTACCAAAGAGGCAGATGCTTGCACACTGAACACCTCTGTACTTGCTGGTTAGACTGTACGTGCAACACAGCAGTCATACTCATTCACTACTGATCTGGTTCTACCATTCAGATATCCTTTGAATCCGCTAAATAGTCTTCTTTCTGCCTTAACGGTTGAGGAAACCGTTTAGTAAAAACAATGCAACCAAATACCAAAGCCACTTGTGCCAACTGGTGTTTAAGTACTTACCCACAGGCACGGATGTGATGAAGCCAACAATGGAAACATCAACAATACAAGGACCTGAGTGCAAAACATCTGGGGAAAAACTGGCATCAAAATACTCTGAAATAACCATGGAGACAGGCACCAAAGTGCTCAAAAATAGGCGCTGAAGCACAAAGACAAGAACTGAAGTGCTGAAAACTGGGCACAAAAGCACTGAAATATGGGTGCCGACCAAAACCACACTGAAGCATTGAGGCAAATTGCCAGACAATATATTATTAATCTGGACCGGACTGGATGACAGAGACACTGGAAAGAATACTCACAAGGCAAGCAAAGTAGTCCACAGAGACGAGCCATGACTGAAGACAGAGGCTGTGGCTACACTGCCGCTTTACAGCGCTGCAACTTTCTCACTCAGGGGTGTGAAAAAACACCCCCCTAAGCGCAGCAAGCTACAGCGCTGTAAAGCGCCAGTGTAAGCCGCGCTCCCAGGGCTGTAAGCTAATCCCCTCGTGGAGGTGGAGTACCTGCAGCGCTGGGAAAGCTCTCTCCCAGCGCTGGCGCACGACCACGCTCGCACTTCAAAGCGCTGCTGCGGGAGCGATCCCGCGGCAGCGCTTTGCAGTTTCAAGTGTAGCCACGGCCAGAGTCAAATAGAAGTGAGAGGGAAATTCCAAGGCCAGCAGTTAAGGTCAGACATTGATATGTAAATGTAAGTAAAGGACTGGCAAATTCTGCCTTTAGGGACCAAAAATCATCACCAGTCTGTTGAGATTCACTTCATTAGGAAGCCAACACTCAGAAGTGAAAATACTGGTCAGCTGAAGCATTACATAGAATTGACTTCATCTTCCTCAACCAGAACCTCCTGATTATTCTGCCACTCCCATAGGCCCCGTTTGCCACTGCTTGCAATCTTTAGGGAAGCTCTCTGCTACTGGGAGCAGTGCTAACTAGCAACAAAGTGAAATCGACATGATCACTGGCAGTTTCACTGCTACTGTGAACAGGAGCAAAACTGACCAGGATCTTGTTAGCTTCACTTTGCTGCTATGGACTGGGGTATTATAAACATCTGTCAGCAGACACGTTGGCAAGTTATGGTTTTCTAGAGCGTAAGGTAGAGATCTACTTCTTTAACACACACACACAAAGTCTTCATAAATTGATGGCTTTAGCACTTCCCATCCTACTCACCATGTGGCAGGGAAGTTCCCTATTTGCCAAAGTAGATTTTTCACTCATTTAGCCCCACCCGTTCCACCAATAGGGAAATTGATGCCTCTACGCCACTGAAATAATATTTCAAGGAAACAGACACATTGCCAGCCATCAGTAATTTGAGTGGGGAGGAAGAAGGGCCCATTACCACAGTATCTGAGCACCTCACAGCCTTTAACGTGTATCCTCGCAATACGTCTGTGAAATACATACATACAATTATCCCCACTTTACAGAGAGGGAACACAGGCACAGAAAGACAAAGGGACTCATACCGGGTCACACAGGAAAGACTGTGGCAGATCAGGAAATTAAACCCAGGTCTCCAGACTCCCAGGCTAACACTGTAACCACTCAGCCACACTGAGGAATATTAATTTTAAGGCACAGGGGATGAAGGATTTTGCAGCTCCAGTGAAATACTGGAAACCTCATTGGGTAACCTTCCTTCCTCCATGTGGTCTGTGAGAACCAGGGGCGTGCATGCCCTGGCGTGGGGTCCTTGGCAGCACTAGTAGGTGAGGAGTGCAGCATCCTGTCATAGAAATGGACAGGAACAGGAGGCCAGCCCTTATGAGGCCATCACCTGCAACAGCAGCTAGGCTCTTGCCCTGCAGCTGTCTCCCCAACCCCTGCCTCGGGTGTGGGAGAGGGAGGGGGCCAGGGAGTTGGGGTACCTCACACCCCCTTCAGGCTCACCCAGGCTGTTCAGGGAGCTGTTGGACTCTCCCAGCGAAGCGCCTGGCAAACTGAACTCATCAGAGCCAACCCAGGGGGCGAACAGGTTCCCAGCCAAGACGCAGAGTCTGGCCTCACCCCCGCCCAACCGTCCGCCTAAGAAACAACCCTCCCCCACCTCCGGGGCCGCTGAAACCGTTGGTGTTTAGAACGTTCCGAACGTTCTATTACCTGTCGCCGAGGGTGGTTCAATCCAGTTGCCCCGCCCCCTCCCTCTGTCCTGGGCCGGGCGTACGTATCTGCGTGTGTACGTCACTACTCCGCACAGCCACCGCAGGTAACGCTACTGGTGCGGCAGCCACCTTCCCGGGAAAGACCTCCCCTCCCTCTCACGGGGGCGACCCGCTCTCACCCTTAGTCACGCACCGGGAGAGCAGCGTCTCACCCGGATGTGGCTTTCATGCTGCTCCGCCTCCTGCCGGTCACGTGGGGTTGCGAGTGCGGCTCCCGGTCCCGCGCGCCTTTTGAGCCGGTTGGAGCTGGCGGGCCCAGGGAAGCGGCGGGCGGTACCTGGGGCGCGCGGACAGCCCCTCCCCCCCGTTTCCTCAGGCGCCGTCTGCTGATGACGGGCAGCCGCTGCCTGCGGGGCCCGCTAAGGCGGGGTTCAGTCGACGCCTGGGCGCCTCCGAGGCCGGTGGGGTGCGGGCACGGGTGAGGCTCGTGTCACCTGGGCCCCCCCGCAGCCGGGGTAGCGCGGGACACGTCGCCTCCCTGCCGGGCAGCGCTGCAGGCCCAGCTAAAGCACGTGACTCGGGAGATGACGGACGAACACCCCTGTCACGTCCCTCCCCAGCCCGCGATGCGCTGGTCAGCGGGGGGGGGATGGGACACGACACAGTACAATTGTATCGGGTATCTGGGAACATCTGTCATGCCGGTGTGACTACAGTGAAATGGGGAGGGGGGCAGCAATGATGCACCAAACTTCTCTTGAGGTGCAGGGGGCCACTGGCTGTGGATACAACTAGGGCTGAGGCTTCAGGTAGCAGCTAAAGTTGTCAATATTTCTGCCTCTCCTGAGCTCCATCAAGCAGTACTCTTGGCAGGAAGCCTGTAGACAGTTGCAGAAAAGGGGTCATGGACCCGACCAACCCACACTGGAAAAGGGGTGATCTAAAGAATCATGCCAATGTAGTTTACACAGTGGCTGTGAGGAGCAGAGATGCCCGCATGGTAAGTAAGGCATAGATATAGGTCCATTAACTTCTTAGTGTTTTATCCATTTAAATTATTGTTTTGTTATATTACATTTACTCTAATAAATTATAGCAGCTGACGATAAATAAAAAAGTATAAATCCCACTTTATCTATCCCACATTTTATTAAGCATTATTCATTTTTCCATGAGATAGTTACCACTCCCTGCTGCAGTGAACCATCCCAGAATACCCCAAACAGTACGGTAGGGTTCTCCCCTTGAAATTAACCCAGTACTGCATCCCTCAAATAACTCCCACTTCTCCATCCCCACTCAGTTACACAAATCCCATGGGACATCCCAGCTGTTCCCAACCCCTAGGGGGCTTCCCTTTCCAGCACCCCCCCTTGCCCTCCATCACCCCTCTATAGCCCCAAGGATCCCCCATCTGTCCTGATATATTTCACCCCCAAAGCCCTCGTTAGCTCCAGAGACCCCCTTCCTTACTGGCTTAAACGTTTTGCCTCTCCCACTGAACCCCGGTGCTCCAGCCCTCACATTAGTTCCAGAGACCTGTCCCTTATTGCACCAAACTAACAAAAACCCCTATTTTAAAATGCTGTTTTGTGCATTTCTAATTGAATTCCCATTTCTGTCCAAATACATTTTGACACAAATCACAAGTAGAAAATTGATCTAGCAAATAAGAAATGCATTCCTTCGAGCTCACCAAGAAGCAAAGCGCCTCATACAGCAAGTTCCTCGTTAATTAATTGAAATTCATCTCAAAATGGCCACCTCTGCTTTTAATCTCCACAACAAAAATAAACAGTTCATATCACACACTTTAACTGAAGGTGAAATGGGATTGTTAGGTTCTCACCCAGGGCTGAGCATTTGTGGTTAAGACAAGGGAGAAACTCTCCTTCCCCAGGTTCACCCAGCACTCCTCTTTAGAAGAAGCAAGCAATCCTTATCATAGGACTGGAAGGGATCTTGAGAGGTCTTCTAATCCAGTCCCCTACACTCAAGGCAGGACTAAGTATTATCTAGACTATCCCTGACAGGTGTTTGTTTAACCTGCTTTTAAAAATCTATGACAGAGAGTCCACAACCTCCCTGGGCAATTTATTCCAGTGCTTAATCACCCTGGCTCTTAGGCAGTTTTTCCTAATGTCCAACCTAAACTGCCCTTGCTGCAATTTAGGACAATTGCTTCTCGTCGTAGCCTCTAAGGTCAAAGAACAATTTTTCTTCCTCCTTCTTGAAACAACCTTTTACGTACTTGAAAACTGTTATCAAGACCCCCCTCAGTCTTCTCTTCTCCAGACTTATGAGGGTGCTGTCCCTGCAGAGCAGATTGTCATGCACCACTGTGGGCTCAGTGCTCACTGAAACCCTCAGCACCCAGTCAAATTGCTAGTAAAAGTGGCAAGTAGAAGATGAGTTCCCAGAGGTGCCATTACTATCCCTGATCTTCCTGTAATCAATTTTAAACCACCTGACTTGCTCTCTACACTGATAGGCAGTCTGGAAGATCCTAAGCATCTCAATTTTATTTAAAATGTCTTTGTATACATGATCATTTCTTGCACTCTTATTGAAGTCGGATGTCTTGCTCACCTTGCACCAGATATTTATCAGAATTCAGTTGTGTTCCTATATCCAGTTACCAGAATGTCTGATGCAAGGGTTCTTCCTATTCGTGGCCATAGCTGACACAGAATCTTAAATATGCTTCCAGATGAGCAGTTAGTGTGGAAAGCAAGAGTTAAATGCCAAGCAGCTGCATTTGAGCTGTATTTGAAAAAAGTGGGGTTGCATCTGCTTTCTGAGAATTGATTGGGAAGTTTTGGGGTAGAGAGGCTGAGAAACACAGGCCTAAGGAATTTTGGGGTAGTGTTGGCGGAGCCTCTGGATACAAGTCTGGGGACCCAGGCTTGAGCCACATGCACACTGCAAAATGACAGGGCTTGGACCCGAGTCCCAGGGGGATTCGGCTCACCGCCGCCCCGCCCCATGCCAGTTGGGTCCTAGGACCCAGCTCCGGAGGGCTTGTTGGTCCAAGTCAGATTTGTGTGTGGATGGTAGGGCATGTTGGGTTCAAACCTGAATCTAAGTCCAAGTTTACAGTGTGGTGCAGATTTACCCTGGATGCCTTCTCTAGGCAGTGCTTGGAGGTCAAAATTCACTGCCCCTCTTCCCAAATGACACTTCCTTCAGTTGGGTGTGTCAGGGTGGCAATGCCTCATAAGCAAGGACAGCCTGGTACATCCTGTCACAGAATCACTCACAATTTTCTAATCTTAATGTACGTTAAACTCTATAATTGCTTAAAACATTGTGTACAAGTGTATCCTTCTAGCAACCCAAAAGTACCAAGTTTAGTGTAAAGGCTGTGTTTAGTTGCAAATCAACATATTTTAATATTTACCAGTCAATGAGTATCAACTGTTCTTAAGAGACCTAACTGAAATACAAATGCAAAACAAAATAAAAATCTATGGAGACCTTGAGGTGGTCCCTTCCAGGTCAGCGCAGGGACACCTGTTACTCTGTTCGCCCCTTGCACATAATTGTAATAATCTTTTTTACAAATTATGCTTTGTGAGGTATTATTTGAAAACTCATAATCAGCTGATTATTATTGTCCTGGTAAAATGGGTGTGCCAACATTGTATGTAAAGTATAAGATTCCAACCTGGGGAGTTGCCAAACCAGGTCCTCAGAGACAAAGGGCAAGCTGAAGCCTCAGCCAGGTGTAAACAAGGTCAAATGAGCCATCACCTGCTAAGTGGCTATTCATTCAGCAGAAAAGGGACAGAAGCAAAAAAAAAAAAAAATCAATCTACATTTTAGCAAGGGAACAGCATGGGGTTCCCATCCACACAGTCTGCCTGTCACCATGTTGCCTGCCTGAAGAGGCTTCTCAAAGAAGGAGAAGGACTATAAAAAGGAAAGGCAGACACCCCAAATATTCCCTTATTTTCTCTCTCTTTATGGCATTCACAACACCTGACAAAAGAAGCAGTGTTGGACTGGGGGAGGGAGCCTCACTGAAAGAAGTTCAGCCAGTAGTAGTGCTGAAACATGTGGTGAGAGAGACTTCGCTTTGAATCTACCCTAGTTGGTTAAGTTGGGCACTAGTTGCATTTTACTTTTATTTTTCTTGTAACCAGTTCTGACTTTTATGCTTCGTTACTCGTGTTCACTTAAAATCTGTGTCGTTAATAAACTTGTTTCATTGTTTTATCTAATCCAGTGTGTTTGAATTGAAGTTTTTGGGAAACTCCATTTGGATCAGCAAGGTGTGCATATCATTTTTACTATCAAATGACAAACTTTATATAAGCATGTATTGTCCATGGAAGGGCTGGGCAGTGCAAGATACATATTTCTGGGGGAAAATCTGGGACTGGGGAATGTTGGGGTGTAATTCAAGAGTGGCTGGCTGTAGCACTTTCACAATATAGCTGGGAGTGACTGCACGCTGCAGGCTGTGAGTGAGCAGACCAGGAGAGGTGGCTACAGCAGCAAAGCAATGAATAGGCATCCAGGTTAGAGGGCAGGGAGACACAACTAACTCATCAATCTGGATCTTACCCTGGGTATGTCACAGTTATTAGTCTCTAGGTGAACTGAAGACATTCATTAGGACTGTCAAGCTGGCCTCTTTGTAAGGCTCAAAAATTCACTTTAAAAAGTGTTTGGGTTAATGTCGGAAACTTTATTTTTCAGATGGATTAAAAGTAAAGTTCTGTTATTGGCTGATAAGCAGTAATGTTTAGGGTAAATACAGTATACTTAAAAGTATAAAGTGTGTTGGGTTTTGCATCTTTACAGATGTGTTATTTTATTTCTTTAGGAGGTTACCATGTTGTTTTTGCAGATGGAATAAGCAAGTTCTAGGCAAAAGTCCAAGAAAAAAGTATCTACTACCAAGCTAAATTAGATTTGCACTTACATTTTAAAGCAATAGTGTAACTTTTGGTGCATCACAAAATTTTCTATTTTTCATATCTGAAAACTTTGCAGAACTCAGTTTCTTTAATCTATTTGTATCATTTTGAAGATCTGCAAAAATAGTCCTCCTTATTACAATTTAAAAACACTTTGCAGACTGTCCAAGACCTAAATGAAAACTTTATTGTGAAGATGTTTTAGGCTGTATTTTATGGGAAGGGGGCTATG